GATAGTTGTATGATATGTTGATTATAAAACACTATTATAAGTAATATATAAGGTAATATTATTCTAATATGTTATTATATTTATTTTATTGTCATATATAATAGTTAGGTAATGTTTATTTTATTCTAATATATTTATTATATTGTCTTCTCACACATCATGGATCTGCATTTTCTATAATGTACTGTATTTCTATAATAAAAATACATATGTGATATTTCTTATTATATAATTAGCATCAAACAAACAATATAATTATTTTTCTCAGTGATTAAAAGATTAAACGAAAAAAAACATTTGATTGCACAACCATCAATTAGGTGGCGATATGCAGTATCTAAATGACCATTGAACAAAAGAAGAAGAAAGAATAGTATGGTGCGCTTTTTCTTAGAGTCCGTTTCGTCGATTCGTGGCTCTGTTGAGAATGTCTTGAGTGTTAACCAGGAACATACTCTTGAGTTGACTGAACTTACTCCTGGACGCGTTTTTGGAACCAGCATACCTCAAGTAAGCAAGGTTTGGGTTAATCAACCGAGAGTTCAGGGTATATGTGACGGTAAGTTAACCTTGCTTTCTGGAATACACCCCAGAACTCATTAACAACCTAGAAAGCTAACTAGAAACACAGACATGAACAGAACAAGAAAACAGAAAAGCAAACGCTAAACAAACTCCTTTGTCTGCCAGACTAATAAACACTAATGTTAATAATGTATCAACCAGTTCAAAGTTGTGCTCTTAAGGGGTTAAGTGGTTTGGTTTCAGAAGTGAAACGCTTTACCTCCCGCACATGAATAAAAGATGAAGCTCATAGCTGTGGAGCTGGCGGCCTGTCAAGGGCTTTTCCTGCTTATTTACCTTCTTTCATTCAGGTTAAAACTTCATCTTAGCCCGACACAACAAGAGAGATGGTAATTTGATTTTATTTCCCTCTAAGCTTCCTTCTGGTAAGACAGAAGGGGTTAGAGGGTTTTATGGATGGTGCCGTAAGTGGTCCGTGATGCAGTAACTCTGAACACACACACACACATACTGTCAGATATAGACTAGGATTGCCGGCTTTGTTTCAACGAAGTGATGAACTAATAGGTCTCATTGATGTCAAGAGCATTTGTCAAATACTTGCTTCACTGCACTACCAGTGTGCGGTTGCTACATACAGTAGACAACTGGGAAGAAAAAAAACATAGCATCACATAACAAACATCAAAAACATACTTTAAAAATTCACTCAATAAATTTTAGTTTATATGTCACTCAGTAAAACAACAGTGATTTTAGACTTTAAACTCATAAAATTATCACTGAATAGGAGGATATAAAGTCTTCAAACTTCAGAGATATGATGGTTTTACACTTTGAGAATTTATTTTTCATCATACCAGAACCTGACTTCTGAACAGCAGCAGGCCCAAGAGAGTTATTTTGTCTTCACCACTGACCTGTGCAGTTGTCCTATAGGTTAAAGGACACCAAAGGTCATATCAGCAGGTGTAAAAGAGTGCATTCACACACAGATTAAAATGAAAGATTAAAAAACATAATGCAAAACAATTATAACCTATTTGTTTTTACTGTAAAATAGCCTTCTTTGATTGCATATTGTATTGGAAGGTTGCCATATTAATGTACCATAGTTTACATGCTCCAAGGTACTTTAAAAAAATGTTTTATTTATTTATTTTTTGTTAGTAATGGAACAACTATGGAAAGGCAGAATCTTTGTGTCCGTGTTGTGCCGTTCGTCTGTTGCATTAATGTTTGATGTGAAGGTGGTGAAGAGAGTGTGACACACCCTCTTGTCTCACCTACTGTTCTCTCTCAGTTATTCATGACTTCTGCTCCCTTTCTCAGTATTCATTCCATCCTTTAGTCTGAACTTTCACTGCCACAGACGTCAGATCAGCCCTAATCCACACCATTTAATGTGTTAGAGGTGTGCTATTAATTTTTATAGTGATCTGGGTGCAAGATACCATTTTGTGGAAAAATGAAGGAAGGACTTGAGTAATACCTAGTGACCAGAATATCATAAAGATTTTAGATTTAGTTCAATTGTTGTCATATTCACAGAGTAAAGGTTACACCAAAAGCTTACTAATTCCTACAATCCCTGTGGTGTCTTTTTGACTATTGAATGACCATGACAAGTCCTCACTGATATAAACACCAAGAAATGTATAAGACCCTACCTTTTCCACCACTGTCCCATATATATGAAGTGGCTTGTGGTGCTGTCTTGTAGCAGGCCTTCTAATATCCACAACTATCCTGACGATCAAAGTTAAGTTACTTTTTCTGCACTGTGGCACCTCGCTCTTGTATTTTGTCTCGTCTTCACCTCTGATGAAGCGTATGACAGTGGTGTCATTAACAAATTTAATGATGGAATTGCTCTGATAGGTGATAGGTGTTAATGATTAATGTCTTACAGGTGATGTTCTCAAAACTGACAGACTGTGGTCTGCCTGTAAAGAAATCCATGATCCACTTGCAAAAGGAGGTGTGCAGTCCAAGTGCACTCAATTTGTCTGTAAGTTTTGATGGAATAACAGTATTAAAAGCCGAACAGTAATATATAAATAGCAATCTAACATAGGAATCCTTTTTCTCTAAATGTGAGAGTGCAATGTGAATTGCTGTTGAGATTGCATCATCAGTCGATATATTAAACTTTAGTGGATCCAATGTAGATGGAATGTTTTGTTGAATATAGGTCTTAACAAGTCTCTCAAAACATTTGGAAATGACTGAAAACAAATTGGTACAACAGCCATAAAAATGGACAGATTAAAAATATCTGTGAAAACTCCAGATAATTAATACAACTGTTGAACTGTATAAAGCAAACTCAAAAACACATTTGGTAAATTAGTTAACAAAAGTGAGAGAAGCTTGTAAAGATGTCTGCCACAACGGGTGCCATCTTGTATTGTTTTGTTTATCTTCATGGCAAGCACTTCGCACAAATTCTTCAGAAACTCCAGTTACATTTCTTCAGGGTTGGGAGGGTTACTTTTAAAATGTATTCCGTTACAGTTACAAATTACTTCATTAAAAAGTATTCAGTAACGTAATCCAAGTACCACAATATAAAAGTAATGTAATCTGATTACTTTTGCATTACTTCAAGTTACATATGTAAATAAGTCAAAGTACTTTTATTTAACTATGACTTTAAAATTAAAACTAATAAAAACTATAGTAAAAACTATTTGAAACCATTAAAAATTGTGTCTTGTTTCACCATCTAGATATTACAGCCCGTATATTTATATAAAAGGCTATGCAGACATCTAGTGGCTATACAGTTTAGTATTACAGTTTTATTTTTATATTTCTTTAACATGTACAAGTAAAAATAAATATAT